GATGGGACTCCTTTAGCCCTCTGAATTTATTTTTTCTCTAACAGATTAAAACAATCCATTAGTGTAGATTTCATCTGCCAAACTGTCAGTCAGTTTCTATGACTGTCACACATGTCCTCCCACCGCCCGCCTTTCCTAGCGGCTGTTAAATCACATTAACATGCTATCAGATCATCACTCTCAGATTTTTGCATTTCAGCAGCTGTTACTCTCTTCTTATTAGTGAGTCTGCAGCGAAAATCTTTCAGACAAAATGTAACCGAACCCTGTGGTTATTGTGACTGGAAGTATGCAGGACTGAAAGTGCCCAAGGCACGCCTGCAGTTACCACACAGAGGTCTTTCAGAAGAGACGTTTGCTATTTAAAGTTGCTTCAAACAGGAAAAAAAAAAAAAAAAAAAAAAAGCTGATCTCTACTCCAAAGAGGAAATAGTTGTAATTTTTTCATATTTTTTCTATCAAAATTACGCACAGGACAGTGCGAGAGCCTCATTCAGCCTCACATATTTTATACCCCATCCCGATGCAGTCAGTCATCCCAGACATACACTTCCAAGCTGTGCAGCACAGTGCATGGCCAAAAGGTGTTGAGGACAAGGTTTGTCACTGATCACTTTCTGTGAAAATAATGCAGCCTTTATTCAGGTTCTGTAACAGTTAATTCTTCAGAAGAGTTACATAAGTATAAAATGGGAACACCAAGTAACACTGCTGTTGTAATACCCTGGGCATAAACAACATTAGCACGCTTCAGTGATGGGCCTATCGGACCCTTGGTCTGTGCATTCCCTCTTGGTATTATACAACTTGAGGTGAGTGTCCTAAGCTGTCTGTGCATCTTTTTGCTCAACTGTAAAGTGAAGATAATGTTACTTATTTATCCCTGTAACTTTATTTGCAATGACATCTACTGAACAGATGTTAAGCATGATTTACGGGTATCACTAATGCATACTCGTTTACTCTGTTTAGAGTACCTGAGCTTGCCAACCACTGACCAACTTGATTAGTAAATCTTTAGAACATTTTTATAGAACAAAATAAGCACGAAGGAATAAACATTGTAGACATAAGGAACAAACAATGTATTTTAAAAATACTAAATCATTGTGTTACAATTTCTCTATGTTCTAAGAACTGCATCATGAAGGATCTTACATGATATTTAAATCTTTCCCAACAAGTTGTGTGTTTCTTACAGCTTTCTCAGTACATCAACAACGTCCAGACCTTAAAATCCATTTAGCAAACATTTTCTCTAATGAAACAACCTCTCAGACTCACCTGAGCATCTTTACTGTCTATTCACTACAACTACCACAATTGCAAGTAGCAGTGGCCAGCACCGCTATGTGTTGAAAGAAGCACAGAATGGAATGGTCTCTTTATCACTGTGTTGAGTTGAACAAAGACAGATTATCTGGTGATTAGGGGTTTGGAATATTAATTAAACATCAAGGCTTTCAAATTAGAATCCCAGATGTTTGATCATTATGGTAATTCCCTGTTAACAGCATTCCCTGAAAGGCCTGAGAAACGTTCCTCTAATTTTCCAGTGCTGAAAGGTTGAGGACCCTTAGGCTATGTAGCACTGAGCTCCTCTGCATCAATTATACAAGACATGGCCTTTTTAGCGAAATGGAACCATCTTATTTAGTGAGTCTTCTGTTAAGGAAGCTCTCCAACAGCTGCCTAGGTAGAGAATCACTTTCCTTACTAACACAGGCCTTTCCAAAACGAAGAACACTGTTCCTTGCACAAGCTGCTTGCTCTAAGTCAAGTCTCAGCAGCAACCACCTTTTCAGGGAGGGGTAGCACCAGCAGCGCAGCCTGCTATGTCTCCAGGAAAGCTGCTCTGTCAACAGCACCCTCTGTGTGTCTTGGTCTCCTGCTCTGGCCTGTCTGGGCATAGGAGTCAGACCACCTTCCTCCGCCCTCACTCACCTCTGGCTGAACTGCCTCCAACCAGTGCTACACGCATAGCCTTATCCCAAAAAGGTGAGAAGCTGAAACGAGTTCCTCATGCTCAGGAAGTTATATGGATTATTGCTAGTTTCCTTTCTATATTACTTGTGCGTCTGTATTACTACATTTTATGGAGACAACTTCTCCTGAGCCTGTGAACTCATCTGGGAACAATGTCTAGTGTTTGCGGCGCCCACTGACGAGAATGCAGATGGTTCTTTCAACAGCACAAGTACTGTTTGTCACAGTCAGCTCAGGAAGTGTGTTTGCAGATCTACACTAACAGCCAGCCTGTTTACTACCATGGCATACTGTCCTCAGACACGTGACCTCCTCCGTGCACTCAGCTCTGCATTCTGTCGTAAATTACCTAGCTAGGAATAATGACAGCAATAACAAAACTCCTTTCACCTGGCTGTGATTTATGACCGGTATTTCTTCCCTTGGTACCTGCTTCTACTAACATATGAATAAAACACAACTTCATACATATGCTCAGAGCAACCTAAAGACTTCTCATCAAGCTATTGGATCAGAGGAGGTAACATCACATCCAGACAGGATGGAACAAATTACCAGAGGTTCAAGGTCTCAGGATATTCACTTACAAGCTTACTGAAACTTGAGTGCAATCTGAAAGAAATGTCAAGTGGAAAGGGGATGTATTTCAATATTTTTCATTCTTTACTAGACGTTAATTTTGCACAATCTGATTAAGGATTTTCACCCTTTGCAGGGTGTAGCTTCAGAGCAGATATACTGCTGATCTGGACCAGTTGGGGAAGATTCCTTCTCCCATTATGTGACAAGGAACTTACGTGCTACCTCAGACAGTGCTCTGTAGGGGCTACATCCACTTAGTGAAAACCTCTTTTCCAGGAGCCCTTAGTGCCCACATATGGAGTAAGTGCCCACACATTGCTTGCAAAAAATGAAGGGAAAATATTTTAACTTTCACAAAAACTATATAATCCCCCGCCCCCCAGCTTTTATTAAAAAACTTGCTATACGTGTACTAATAAAATATAACTCTATACTCAAAAGTATTTGTGCTATTCACAAGGTTCCTCTAGATTCTAACCAGGCACCCTGAAGGTCTCCATGCCATGTTCCAGTCAACTCTAGATGTTGCTGCAAGTAGTCTCTTTATGGGTGCGGTTTTCTGTAAATCTTTTTCTTGCTCTCACAGAGCTTTTGCAAAACAAATTCAATCACAATCAGACAGAGTAGATATTGTTCATCAAGCTCTGGCCCCAACACCAGCTATTTCCACTTACAGATCAGTTTTTCTAATGTACATTCTACTGTAATTCCATAGCTGTTCAGGAAATACTTGGACATACTTCATTAATCAAGTTGATGGAAGAAAAGAATGGGCATCCTAGAATGTGGACAACTACAACCTCAGCAAAGTCCGTGGAGTCTTGAACATTAACAGCTCTGCTTTTCACAGCAGAAAGAATGCCCAAAGCTTCCTGGATCTTCTTGTGCCTCACATTAATATTGACTGTATAGAGAAATAATTCTTAAATCTACTGCTGTGGGAAGCTTTGTGTTTTCAATGGCTGTCAACAGCCCAGTAAAACAGGGCTAAATCTATCAGTAAATTATAAAGCACTAAAAAGCACTGGAAATGAAGGGGAAATTATCTTTTTGATAAGCACTGCACACCCAAACAATATACCAAAAAGCTGATGTACCAAAATCTAACTGGTTAGATGTAACTGGAAATAACAAACTTCCAGATGGCAAGTTCTCCATTCTTCCATATGGAAGGACCTTGCATGTAGCGCTGCTTGATTTCTGCAGGCTGTAGCTAAGTGGTCTTGGGCACTCCCATGTTCTGCTATCACTACTGATCATCGCGAAGTAGCAGCTTTGTCCTTTTGCCCATCAGTATTAGTTGGACAACACCAAAACAGGCAATCGATTATATGAAGTTGCTCATGAACAAGAGACAGTATTAGTTAAATCTCTCCTCAGTTGTTCCTTCTACCTAACTCTCCAGTCATTGTCACAATAGATTATGGAAGCTTGTTCTTACTTAATATTCTCCTAACTAGAATATTCATTCACAGTTTTGCACTAAATGAGATTTTAGCACTGCTCAGTAGTGTTTTTCTGTTTTGTCTGACACCTCTTTGAGGAAAAAGGTGCTGCTTTGGATGATGGAATGAAAGACAAGGCTGGCACTGGGTTCCAGCATACTATTCCCTGCAGTCAGCATCAGGTCATGTACAGCAGGACCAGCCCCAGCAGTGAAACGCTATGCTGAAATATTCCAGGTGCTTACTCGGAAGCAACATAGACTGTGGACAAAATATACCCAAATGCCATTCACTTAACCTGGATCAAGGTTATAAATTGTGTTCAACATTCACCAAAAATCACTTCACTCGGATAACTCCAACCCCAGACAATTTCCAGGTATGGTTTATGAACTAAGATGCTCGACACAGGTTTGGTTTTATTAACTACCAACCAGCAGATGAAGAGTCACTTTTTGCCTTGTTTGGGTCTAATACATGCTGCAAATGCCCAAATCTTTAGATCCACTGAGTCATTTAAATAATTACTTACAGCATAGTCCCAAGAAGCCTGCAATACTGAATTTTGTTCCATACAGTGGGGAACAAACAGCATTTCTAATAGCGAAGTACAACTTTTACATTCCTTAAGGAATGTGGCAGCACATATTACTTTGAATTGTTGATTTTGGCATTTAAAGCATATGTCAGTATCCGTTATGATTAAATGTGCAGAATGCATATTTCTAAACCAGACCTCTAAAGATTAGCTGAGCAGCACAGAGCCTTATTGTACAGGCTGTAAGATATCCACTCATCCCCTGACCACCTGCATCTCTTTATGCCTCCTGGGAGAGCAAAACAGGACCATCTAAACAAACATTAAGACATGAAATATTGCATACAAGACAACTACGTATTTTTATACATCGAAGAAAATTAAAAAATGAAAGTAAGGGAGATTTTAGGGAGTAACCTGTAAAAACATTCCACTTCACAATATCATACCTTCTACTGCTAATTCTTTCCATCTTTCTTTGTTTGCTTGAATGATCTTCATCAAGTTGTCCTTAAAGCTTGTTAGGTCTACAGTTGCTAAAGAATTTTCTGTGTGAGTCCCTCCATCACTTGAACTTTTAAAACTGGGTCGTCTTTGTGCTTCAGCATTGCTTACTGCTCCCAGGCTATTTTGGCTGCAGAAGTGAAAAGCCCCTAAATTATGAACAGAGTCAAGCAATTTTAATAATACACAACCAGTTAATTTGAATCAAATTCCTTAGGACCTACATGCAATCACTAACTCACAATAGTAGTTTTCACCAAAGAATACCTGAGATACAGGACATTTCTTCAGCTCATGAAGCTGTAACCTGAGACCAATTCTTACTGACATTTTTCCAGGGAATTCTTAAAAAAAAAAAAGACAGCTGAAAATACATTACTTGTAAGTTGGTTCTTGAAAGAATGTTTCTGTAGCCATTTTGGAGCAGGCTCTTAGCTGTGTTTTTGAACAGTGAATGGTAACTTTGGGGCTCACAGGAAAGACATCTGAGTGTTATTTGTTAACGCATTTAAAAAAGCAAGACATGAAAGTATATGACAGGTAAGTAACTTTAGCTTCAGCTGAAAAATCTCTTCAAGGTACATGCCTTTAAGCGTAGTCAATGCAGGATTTAGTACAGTGGCTTTAAAATCCACTTAAGAGTTACTGCAAGCTGCCTTACATGTAAGGTAAGACAGAAGTCAAATTGATTATCCATATATGAATATTCAGATACATGTAAAGGTGGGTAAAAAAGACTTAACTCTATTTTTTTACTTAGGATTAAAAAATGAGACCTATTTCTGGCCCCGTATAGGTAATCATGTCATAGATGGATGTTACTACGCATACAAATGGATTTCCATTACATCAGCAAATTGCAGGGAACATATCAGTGAGAACTGCACAACAAGACTTAATTATAATTTCCATGTGCTCCAGAGATGTTGAATGGGATAGAACGAAAAGAATAGACTATAATTCTAATGTTTTCCAGGCACCACAATGAATGTCACATCATATACGCATGGTGTTCACCCAGTAGTGTTTGTGCAACTCTCCTGGCTCAGACATTTCTGCATCATGCTATAGGCTTTCCACTCTCTTCGTAAGTGTAGCACTTGATTCCACACCAAGAAAAAATCCCTTTATCCTCCATCACACAGGAGGAAGCTCTCGTGGATCATAAGCCTTTGCTCATCTACCACTCAGTCATGAACATCAACTGAAAATGAAGCCTGGAGCTACTAATCCTTTGCAGCTGCTAATCACTCATTTGTGAAGAAGTGAGTAGGTAAATAAGTTTGCTATCAATAATGCCTTAGTTTAGCACTGTTCCCCAAAGCACTAAGAACACTCTCATAAATACCTACCTGTGATAACTTCTACTTACTTCTAGTGACCGAAATACATGTAGAGTAAAACCATGATCAGACTAGAGCTGGGTTCATCATTTTCCTATTAAAATCTAACTAATGCACAGCAAATGAAAAACTGCCCTGCAGATTTATCATGTTATTAGCCGCTGAGAAAGCTCAAATCACAGTTTTAAAATGAAAAAGATGTGGTAACAGAGGTAATATTTGTAAAAGCAGTATATGATTATTCAATGACACTTTCAGCGTGGAGTCACTCAGATAACATTGTCTGTCATAGCTAGTTTGTTTTACAGACAACTTCTATAATGATGCAAAAAATCAAGAGCTTGATGGGCAAGCCCCCTACTGCATCTCACTTCTACTGTATTTACATCTCTCAAGTGGCATATAAGTGGAATCAATTTGGTCTCAAATGTATATCTCATACAATACTAAAGTGGAAAGGTGAAGAAGGAAAGCGACCTAAAGCATAACAAAAAACAGAAAAAAACCTGAAACCACCTTCACCACTTCCACTTCCAATTGTCTCTCAGAAAGGAAATGACTTTTGGTACCGTCAATTAAAATTCTGCTGAAAATGGCTCAAGATAAGAAAACTAGGAACTTCAATAATCTATTGCAAAGATTATAGTAGAAGGAAAAAAGTTATTATTAGATATGCTGCAGAAAAAACACTTTATATTTTACATGTGTGTGTTTTGCTCATTGGTGTGTTTTTGCCTTTTTATATGCCCGATCATCCAGCCAATGGAGTAAGGGCATGTTGCAAATACAACAGAGCACCACATGGTGGCAATACTGTACAGCTATTTATGCCACTTCTCCAACGGTTAAAATAATTGTGATAATTCTAAGAATGATGTTCTTATGTTAGTTTAGGTATAGTTCAATAACTAAGCAGTGTATTTATACCTGGGTGTCCCAAATGCAGGACTCTCAGATTTTGACGCTTCCTCTATAAGAGGCAAAACAATTTTCTCCATTGAGTCCGTAAGAAGAGAAAATGTTGGTTCCACTATGAAATCAATGAAACCTAAAGAAGAAAAAGAAAGAAAAACAGATTTTACATTTCCACAGCTCTCATAATCTAAAAATAAATACTTGATGTCAGGCTGATTTTCTGACTGTAGTCCTGATTCAATATACTAGATACCACTAGTATAACCTTGAGGAAAAAAGCACAACTAAAAACTAAAACTCCTGAAGCTGTATAGATATAACTAGATATTAATAATTATAGCTTATAATTCCTTCTTCATGTAAATTTTATGGATTGCAGAACACACCTACCATTTGAATCGAATATTAGTTATTAAATCGAAGGGAAGTTACAGTTGAGCCAAGGGGTTAGAAGTCATACTGTCACTTTTACCATTCAGATCTTCTTCCCAAGGAATTAATATTTCAAACTGCTGTTTATTATTCTATGGAGGTAAAGTGTTATTTCACATTGTGTAGGAGTGTTCTGTCAAATCAGTGAAGAGAACAAGTAATATCCTTGGGAGACAGCATTCATCCCACAGTTCTGAGATGTCAGCTCTGAACAATGTCTTTTACATTTTAAAGTGCTCATCAAGGTATGGAATGACACAATGAGAGAATGAAGCATTATTCTCTGCTGAGCACTTAACAGAAAAAAAATAATGCTAAAACATGAGCTAGCAATGGATTTCCAGATGTCTTCATATTCTAACCATGCAACACAGCACAAAGGTGAGCAACAGTGCTTCAGCCTAGGATCCAGCTTCCCTCCCGCAGTAGGTAGGATGCTCATACACGTTGCCTATCAAGTCCCAGTGAAATGGAATAAAGGATGTTTTGAGTAACAAGATCAGACAGGATAACATCCTTCATTCAAGGATAAGACACTGTCACCTAAAGAACCTCTCCCTGAGTATTGTGTTCACTCACATAAAAAGTCCTGCTATTGGTAGGTCATACTACTTTAGTCAGTATGCTTTTAGGGTATCTCCTTGTAACTAGCCCCTGTAATCCCATTTTCTTAATTTTGCTGATGGAAATGGGGATAGGGAGAGCCAAGACGTACATTTCTGAAAATAGGAGGCTGAAGTTTGGCCACCATTGACCAAAATGCAATTAGGATGATGGGAACAGAATGCAATGGTCCTTATCAACCCAACGAGGCTTGACCCTGTGTAGTTTGATCCTGCTACACTGACAGTCTTAACCGCAGTCCAGAGATCTGATGTATGAATTAGCTTTAAGTTGAGATACGTCTACAAAATGGTACCAGGCTTTCAGATTCTAGTGGAGAAAGACCTGTGAGCTCTTGAGCAAAAGTCAATCTGTCCAAGGACATAATCTATCAAACTCTAAAGCGTGTACAGTAAAAGCTGGGCTCATGTTCAGTACTTTGGTTACTCCCTCTCCTTGGCATCACATATGTTGAAATCACTTCATGTTCTTTTGAGACCAGCGCATTTCTGCTGTAAGACCTTATGAGTTTGGTGAACAGATAGGTGCAAAAAAATACCTTCTATATGATGGCATTTGGAACATTTAAAATTCAAAATGGGAATAAGAAATGTCCACATGGTTTTACATTATCCTACACATACAAGAAAAAGAAAACCACAACTTATCATTACCTATTTGGGACTGAGCTACCAAAGTAGACTTGCGGTCACAGAGTGGGGAAAATTGAAGACCTAAAGCAGCCTCCTTGTCTCCCTGCAAACAACAATGTTTAATATTATAAGCACATATCTGAATATTTGGAGTATTTATTCAACAGATAATTTTTTTCACTTATATTTCTAAATAAAAACAAGCCATAGGCCAAAAAATCCTCATTATTTACCTTTAAATTTTCAGGAAAAGTAGAAGTCAAAATTCTAACTTATATTTGACAATTTTTATACAAAGGAACTTAGTGCAAGCAAGTTCCCCTCAAGAGCAAGGCATCTGCCAATGATATTTAACATGTATGAAGTCCTTGAATATTCACAGTTTAGTCCTGCTGAGCCCAGATGCATTTGGACTGGAAATATTTAGACACGGTTGTAATAGTATATCAAACACTAAGTGTTTCCTTCTATTACATTGGTTTATCCAACATGTAAAATTTCTACAGTGGATTTATACAGGTCAAAGGCATGATCTGACTTGAACTCATTCTCATTACCAGGCATGTCTGCTGCTGAGGTCATAAAAAAGCACAAGCTCAACTTCATTACAAAGATGATTTGTACAACCTAGTTCTGAAAATATTTCAAAACCGAACATATTAAAGGAGTTTTTTTGTTGTAACAGTCTTAACAGACAGGGGAGTGTTATGTTCATTTTCAGCATAGTAGACCAGCGGACTTGCAAAAGCTCAAAAAGAAAGTCTAGTGGAGAAAAAAAACCCTGAAAAGACATCTTTCAAAGGAGGCTATAATTAGTGTTGCTGGACAAACCTGGCCCCCAGATGCACTGACATTATAGATGTAGCAAAACTTAGTCTTTCAAGTAAAATGGCTCTACATGTTACAGTACTCATGGAGAGAGCTGTTTCCTGGTCATTCAGTGGGGAGCTGTACATGAACATTGTCCCAAAGATCTCATCAGAAGCTGATGGATGAAGGGGCTAGTATAAACCTTCTTTAGTCTTTTTATCATTGAACTATATTTGGAAGAAGTTTAGAACTATAACAGCAATAAAACCACTTCAGACACAGGAACAGATGTAGCTCGCAGATTGTGTTTCATGTGGAAGTGGAGAGTTTTATCATGATGGCCTTTAAATTCTGCACCCCAGTGTTCATAATTTGACTTCAGAGTGTAGAAGAACACATGAGCACTTACCACTAGGAGCAATGCTAGTGGTATCTCCATGTAAGTGCGGGAGTCAGATTGTGATATAATCTAAACTGTGTTAGTTCTAACAATTTTAGCCAATGAAAGATTTCTGAAGCAATATTAATTTTGTAATCTTTATTATTAGGTATTAAAAAAGAGAAAATTCTACACTAGTAAAAAATCAGTTTGGGATTTTTTTATGCTTTTCAAGTAGCTCTTTACCCCTATTAAGAAATACTTTGCAATTAATATAATATGTAATTAATACTTAAATATCATACAAGTCTAAGTCTATCATAAATTGTAATAATGGACACAGTGTTGATATTTAAATTGATCATTAGAATTTCATGATATTTAAGACCAAGATAAAGGTCAACACAGACAAAAAAAATTCTTTGCCCAGGTGCTGGACAAATTATCTTTTTGTGCTTTTGGGTCTATTCAGACCGAGAGCAGAATGCTATAGAAGCTGTGATACTTCTTTGAATGACTTGAACTATGCATTTCTTTATTTTCAAGGTTTTGAGATGGGTGGGTGTATTTCTATTTTAAACAAGTAGCTTAGATTTTCCTTGGCATTATAACACACTTTCTGTAGTTGTTGCTTTTAAACTTCAAGCGTTGTTTGGCTTTTTCCCTAAAGTTAACACTAGCACGTATTTCAATCGTTAGCTGTAGTTAACAAAGTTTTTTGTCTAGGTGAATGTTCATTTTTTGCTGGTGATTACTACTTTGAAAGCTGCCTGTTAAAGAAATGTTTTTGCATCGGCAGTCTCAGGCTCTGCTGATTTTTCCAGTAAGGTGGTAGAAGTACTTGAATTACTATTTTTAAAGAAAAGAAGAGGAGGAATTAGTGAGTTTTGTATACATTTGGACTACTTCATCTTGGCTGACACAGATTTGGAAATCCAAGAGATTTCCGCCACAACAGACCAGAGGCTGCACAACCAAGCCAGTGCATCTAGGAAGCAAGCGACCTAACTGTGTCTGTCCTGCTCAGTGCATTTATATATGTACAGTTACTTCATCACAATTTGAATGTGCTGGAACTACTCCACACATGCTGTTCTTGGTAGTACGTATAAAGAGGGGTTCAGTTCCTTGCACACTTCTCTACAGCCTGAGAGACTTTCACATTTTATACTGCTGAGTTGCAGAAATACATACATGGTGATTTGATTCTATTATTAAATGCCTTCTCAAGTCCTTGAGCAGCGTATTTGGGATCCAGTTACTTCTTCTAATGGAAGGATAAAGGAATAACTCAAACATTAGCTGATCCTATGCACTCAATGACCAGGGTGGTACTGTTTATTTTGATGTTACATTCACTGGACTGGATACATTGCCTCACTGTCCCATGGGCTCTGTCTAGTTTGTCTCTCTGTACCTAAAATGTTTTTAGAGTTGGTCATTTCTGACCTTTTCAAGTAATATACATCTGGGTAATCTGCTCCTTTTTCCTCTCAAGTTCAAAATCCTCATCATTTCCATTTACCGAAGCAGAAACAAACTCTTGACTCTACTCAGTATTTCCACAAAATTTAGTCCATTCATTATTTAGATTAAGGCATCAGCCTTAGTCTCCGCAGTGCAAAGCCCAGAGTCAAGGACATCCTGATGTTCGCTATTGCGAATTCATATAAAGAGCCTCTAGGAACCAAGCAAGGGTTCCCATTCTAGGGAGGATGGGCCTAATCACCTTATGGTTTAACACACTGACTTTTTTACTCTCTGACCACTTTTTCCAGTGTGACCCAATTGATTTGAAAATGTCAGCATACAGCGAAATAATGACAACCGAGTGAGATATACACCGTTCCGTTATCTGTATTAACCTTTTTTAAAACCTGTGTATAACTGTAGAAACTGTGTAATACCTAAACTGGATTTTGATTATCAGTTGTAGTTCAGTAATTGTTATGTTAAAAACGTGCATGGACACAGATATTCCTTACAAGGAGAGTATACTCCCTTTGGAGAAATGGGTTTTTTCACCTGCTGAGGTGAGTGAAAAAATGGCAGCAGTGACACCAACACCTACTCAGCTTTCTCTTTGAATTAAGTATCTCACAGAAATGAAAAGACTTTCACAAAGATGCATCTCCTTTTTGTCTTAGGATGTATGGCCACAGCATTAACAGGATGATACTGGCTAACCTCTGTGTTTGGGTCAAGCTGTTATGAAAGCAAAACCTTCAGATCTATGTGGCATATGTACAGCAAGCACTCGCAAGGAAAAGAAATAGGAGAGCTTTCTGAAATGTGAAATGGAGACAAATTTTTGCCTTCTTTGCTGAACATGAATTCTTTCTGGGTTTAAGTCTCTCATCCTACCCTGCTGGTACTTCTTTTTAACTCAAAGCATATATAAATCTCTGTCTACAGAATAAAAACTGCTTGACAAGTCATATTATTATTGCAAGAAAAAAAAACACTACAACACTCAGAATCCTGGTATCAGCTGAAATAGATATAGAGCTATAACAATTTTTTTTTTATTCATGTACATTAAAGTTGAATTAATGTCAGTGGTATGTATGAAGAGTAAGGAACATATACTACTGACTATGCTTGTCAATCGCAACCAACAGCATCCTTGCTGGTAGACTTACGAAAAGATCTAATTGAGTAACATTGCTTCTTGAACTAGATTTGTAAAAAGATTTTAAAAATGGCACCTGTCGAAAAAATTCTTCCATCAGGGCCATGGTCCACCGGTAGTGCAGTTCCCAGGATTTTGCTGGATGGCTTATGTCTGCTGCATGTAGAATCAAAGACATGGCTTTGGCTTTGTCTACCCTGTCAATTCAAGGACATGCTCCAATTATCTCAACACAAAAGCAACTATTTAAATTCTTTTCTTGTACATGAGCTCTTTGAAAGACTATAGATAATGAACAGAATGGAAAATAACCTACCCCTCTGTCTGCTGTAGAGTATGTCGCATTGTTTTAATTTGTTGAAAATGACCCGACATATCTGTAGACAAGACCATCTCAATGACCAAGCTACGCAACTCCCTAAGAATAATTAAAAGCAAAATGACTGATTACAATTCATTTATTCTATGTATAGTACATTTGTTTAAGCAGTACTTGTTAATTTATAACTTTCTAAACAACATCACAGGTCTTATTATGTTTTTAAAAGCATTTCAATAAATTATTAACAACTTGAATGTTGTATCCTAAAGGGATTTTTTGAAAGTAATGTAATTCAGAAAATTCAATCTGCAATCATTATTTCAGAGTCTACTCTTTTCTAGCGCATAAACCGAAACTACATGCAGTTCTGTCACCCATTATAAGTCTTTACTTCTTTTCCAAGCAGTAGAGTATTCAAAAAAGCATTTGGTCTCTGGGCTTACCATCACACAAGAGGACATATTTGTGTCTTTTATTTCTGCCCTGATGTCAGTGCAGGGCAGGCATAACACTAAACCTAGGAAGAAGGCTGTGGAAACACTCAGAAGAGGAAGAGATATTACATCTGAAACACTATCAACATTATACCAATATAGGAATATTATGAAAAACTACCCTTCATCTCAAAAATACCTTAATGCCTATTTCATGAATCAAAACAAGTTTGGGATTTATAATTTAGTTATATCTTGGATTTACAGTCAGAGATGTTGGCTTGTCCATCAGCTTTCTATTAAATGAATATGAAAACAGTAAAATAGAAATTAATGTAAGAAAGTGTATTAATTCTCATTGTATACGAAAGTATATTAATTTTGTCAACAATAACTACCAATCTGGAAAATTCTGTTCCCTTGATGTAGAAGGACTGTATCTAGCCCACATAGGAGTCTACCGGGTCTTTATTTACATGCTTTTTAAATGGCCTAGGAGGATTTACGTGGAAGTGTTGCTTATATGTATATTGGGGACAATTCACATCATTAAATATTTGATTATGTAGCATGTCTCTTCATGGGCACATTCCCAGTCTGGCACATTCCCCGTCTTAAGGATGTCAAAGTATCAACTATAAGAGTAGTATCCTACTTTAGTCATTGTTACTGATTTTTCATATTGTATTCATATCTTTGATATACCCAATAGTGCAATTTTTTTCAAAAGAATATGTTTTAAAGAGGTAAATTGCAGTTTTTCTTTAGGGCTGTTAGAATAGTTTGTGATAAAAACTACCAAGACTGCTTTTGAGCCAAACTAATTGCATATTTAAGCTGATTTTTGTGTATTTATTCCTGATTTGCTTTGATGTAACTTGATAAAGACTCAATCCTCTCACTTCTACTCAATAATATGCAGCCATAGCAACTTGTGTTTAGAAAATGCCTTACCTTATCTGACCTCATAATAAGATACTAATTAATTTGCATCCCAACTGTTCCTCCTCCACATTGCTTTGAAACTGTACCCTTCAAACATAGCCAAACCCATTGGTGGGGGTTGGGGGGGGAACAGTGCATGAAAACTGAGGGCTCTGTATTGTTAAACCCTGTTGTTTCTAAGACTGAAATAATTATCACTTGCCCTTTATATGGGAGGCTTTCTTAGGAACTTTCCATGTCTGAACTTTTAAGAGTATTCAGAAATAACCACACTCCTACTACGCAAGACACACAGAGAAGCAAAACACTGCTTCCAGTTTACTCACACTGTCATGGCAGCAGACAAACCCTAATTCTTACCTCCATCACCTGAATAATGTTGAACAATGTAGCACTGTCCTCCTCACACACCTCTGAAGATTTCAGGCCGCTAAAAAGCTCCCAAACAGCAAAGGAGAGGCTCTACACCTACAGTCTGCTGTTGTTTCCTGCCTGCACCCCCAACCACCACCAACAGAGGGATGGAAAACTGAGAACTGAAGGGGAAACAATAAATAAATCTCTGTCAGAGCTACAAATGCTCAGTCTACCACCACTGCACAGAAGATTACTCTTGGAGTTAAACCTTTCCCAAATTGTTTTACCATGGCAGGAGGTACACAGGTGCTGTCATCTGTAGTTCTGTGATAGGAAGTGGTAACTGTATTCACATACAGCTCACAGTGGGTTTTAGGGCCCACAACTGGAAGACTACTGGTTTTGAGTATACAACCTCCATTTTTCTGAAGTAAACTGTCATGTCCTGTGCTGTCATCCTTTCTTAACCCTCCTGTATCTGCATGGCCTATGGATACAATACTGTAAAAAAATAGATGCAAGATGATCTGAAAAAGCGACCTCAATAATTATGTAACAAAGAAGAGACAAGGAGTGGCACGTGAATTTCTCAGAAAAGTAGTTAACCAGTAAACACAAACCAAGAACAAATACATTTAGCCAACAGGAAACTAAAAAAAAAAAGCAAGAACAGGCTAAGATGAGCAAAAGCAAGTTGGGAAGTGAAGAGATAAGGTTCATCTTGCAAGTTATAGCAATCCTGCTTTCCTCAGACACAAGGCTGCAAGGGAAGTTGTGAAAGAAAAGCTGTTCATTATGCATTGGTTTTCAGTCATTTTTGTATAATCAGGCAATATATTGATAACTGTAAACGTAACAAATGTATCATGCAGATGTTATCACTTCAGGTGGTCAGAATCATTGCACAACCAAAACAAGTCTTGGTTCTTTGTGAATAATTGGGACGGTTGCAAGACAAGGGACTCCTGAATAATCCCTTTAGGCGGCTGGGCCTTGGGAGAACAGGTATGCAAACTACAGAGATAAGGAGGCTGCAGGATAATCTGAAAACCCTGCCGATCACCGAGAGACGCCAAACAAACATGTGCGACGGACATTACCTTATAGTAATGAGTTCTCGAAAAAACCATTACTATGATAAGCATTTCTTGGAAATGTAATTAATATGTATGTTAACATAGCATAAATACCTAGTAAGTGTGTCTCTTCGGTGCACACGCTTGGAGGAGAGATTCCCTGTGTGCCCAGCGCCGTAATAAAAAATAACTGCTTAATAGTCTTCCGACTATTGAGTCTTCAATTCCGGCTTTTCACGGCATCAATATCAATATATGCCTTATGACTGGAATGATTTGAGACATTAATACCACTGACCACCTCTAACTGTTGATCTAACACGTGGCGGGTTTGAACACCAGAAGCCTGGTAAATCAAAGAACGGGGGACAAAAAGAGATTCCTCACATCTCTCTAGTTATTTAGGGGCACTAAGTGAGAGAAACAAGACAATATGGAAGACTGGAATATATTTTCAGAGTTGAGAAGAAGGTGAGAAAAGACTATGAATGTCATATGTGTTATCCACAAAGGACATCCTCATCAGAAGGCTGGCAGTGTTTCCCCGCTCAGACCCAAACCTTATGTTTTACACTTAATTGAAGCTGACAGTTTATTAGTGCATTTATCTTCTTAACGTTAACATGTAGAAAAGAAAATGTAATACTATAAAGTCATTCTCAGTCATTTTGCTTCATCTTGCTGAAATAATTAGCAGAACCACAGCTTAAATAGGCAGGGGTATTAAATTTAAAAAAAAATGAAATTGCTGCAACTCAAGAAAACAGATCTGACAGTAGTCAAGCAATTCATCGGTGCCAGGAAGTACACTAAAAAGTTGAACAAATTATCATTTCCATTTGCTGCCACTTTGATTCAGTGCAAACTTCAAAAGTGTTAGTCTAACATCATGAATTTCAGTATAGAATCGAAGTTCACTCTAGTAATAATCAGAAAATTGAGGAGTTTCTTCTAAGTGACTAACAGATCTGTCATTGCACCAATGAACAACTGTATCTGATGAGAGAGTAACAGAAATTTTGGATATTAGAAATGAATACTAGGAAACCATCATTTCTATGACTGACCTTCTAAATTAAGTATCAGACTTCAACAGGTTGTGCAGGTTTTCAGACTGGCACTTCGGAATTTACTGGTTTGAAAGTACAGACTGTAATTACCTAGCTAAGTGACAAAACATGGAACTGAGTGACCTCGTTTAGTTGCTTGAGCTTATTAGTCAGTTCATGCATCTCTTCTAAGTTATACTGAATAGCCCCCAAAAGAGATCATAGATTCTACTTTCTCTGGTTGCCAAATTCCACCGGCTTCAAACTGGCTGCATATAACAGTGGACTAGATCTGTGCAACAAGAATAAGTTCACAGAACTAAAACAAAATCCTCCAGGAAATCCAAATTGGGTTACAGTGAGAGGAGATTGAAAAGCAAGTGCAAACACACCTAATCTGTGATTGAGCAACCTCTGAAGGAACACGGTAGTTTATCACGGGTTCAAAAACCACGGAGAAATGAAATGCACCAGAAGTTGGAGCAAAGAGTGCATAATCTAAAGAAAAAGAACTATAAGAAGACCAGATCGAGCAATCTATGCAGAGAAGTGTGCTTCAGAAATGTGAAGAAAGTCTGTGACATTCCTCCCTTTATTCTGTTGCAGTCCACCAGAGCAGAATGTACAAACATCACACAGCTGGAAACCATGGGCTCCTCTCTCCATTGGGAAATATTTCCTTTCACACGAGTTTCCATCCTATTACTGCTTTCCCCAGTGACATAAGAAAAGGGAATATCTGGGTTGCACTATACTAGCTGGCAGACAGCTGCAGGGATTCCCAAATTATACTCATTTATGGTGGTCTCCAGTGATGAAGGAGAGAGGACTGGGGAAGCACATAAGTGTCTTCAAGCCAGCCTTGGTCCAGTCCTGAACTGAAATTCAACTGAAGACCACTTGCCTCTTTCTACCTGGAAGCATTCTCTGGCAGGACACAATATGAAACACCACCACTTCAAAAAAAATACTCAAGGCAACAAGTCTGAAGATATGAAAATCGTTACCACTCTACAATGATAGTTTTAATAGACAGAATAGCAGCATCCGATGGCTGTCTACACAATCACTTTCTCCATACTCAACAGCAAGGACAAGCTAAAAAGTGTCACAGAGACCTATCAGCCCCCAGATCATCAGGCCCAAAATGGCTCCAAACAGAGTAAGGCTGACTCATGTCGGCAACAAAAATCTAGGTGTATATGACAATTATTGCTGAAGTTCACAATTTAATTCCACAGATCTTTCTCCAGAACTAACTTTACAACACAGATTTTATGAAAGCTAAATCCAAATGAGTATCCTCTGAGAAGAAATCTCTTATGAGAATGAAAAAGTGTATGCTTCCTCTTTCACTTTGCATTAAATAAAAAATTAAAAATACTTTAATATTAAGTGTTTTGGAGTAGCTACATAAAAATAACAAACTGAAAACCAAAAGGGTCCGCAGATTTACGTTCAATAAATGCTTTATATAGGGGTGTTCTGAAACTGTGGCTAAGTAAAATAATCTAAAACTACCATGTAAAACAAATATACACCACACCAAAATTTGATCTGACACTCGCATATTCCTTCATGAATGTATAGTTTTGTGAAAATATAAATAAAGCAGAGTATAGCTTTGTTATTCATGGTGACATCATTCCCAGTAGGAGACTTCCCTGGAAGCAGAACATCTCTCTCTGGCTTCACAGTCCACCTATCTAAAAGCTATTTTTAGGATCTCTGAATAATAGCTATGTTTACAGAAACACACAGAAGACTCATATTTTAAGTGCTATATGTAGCAACGGAAGATATACAAAGATAACATGTCCTTTTTAGTGATGAAGAAAGTCTTATCTCTAAAACTTGTTCATTGGCCTTGCAGGTCTTAGTATTTGTGACATATCAATTATAATCCAGATTCTTTCAGACGGTCAAATTTTCTTCAGAAATTACACTAGAATTAAGAAAAAGAAGAAGAAAAAAGAGATTTCTGTAGTGTTTCTGGGCCTTTACTTTATTTTTGCACTCTCCAGATAATTCATTTTTCAGTGCTCAATCAAGATGGCACTATGCCTTGCTATGTTACACAGCAGAATTCCCAGAGGCAGTAGGGATTAAGCAGGCAGCAGAGTGTGACTTTGCACTGAGGTTATAACCCACTTTTAGACAAAGGTAACCTAGCTCAAGAGGAACAGCACTGGGGTTTTCCTGAAGAGCTATCTCACCTGAGACACTGTCCACACAGTCCAACACCATGCCTAATAGACGCATAACCTCACTTGGAAAATTATATGGAGTCTCCCCAAACAGTACTTTACACTGCAGCAGCCTTCCCTAAACTCTAAATATCCATTACTCATTCCAGTCCCAATACAGTCTTCCTGTATTTTGAACCCTTAAAATAGACGGCACAGGGAAGTCTTGGTGTTTCTTATTGTTTTTAAATACTGGAATTAAGTTTGAATGTCACAGTCAGTCTTACCTCCAGTCATCTTTGGTTAAATTTGCCAGGATGTTCATCTCTTCCTCTTGCATGAGTCTATAAGCAGCACTTACGTGATGATTTTCAAGAACAGAACGATCATTGTACAATATTGCAACATCTGACCTAGTGTTAAAAAAAAAAAAGGCAGAATTTTCAATAGCATCCTGATGATGGCACTGGGGAAAGTAGGACTGTGTATTCTCTATGAGAACTAAGGACTATATATATCAAACTATATTTATTTCTTCCTATTGTATCAAATACTGATAAAGTGTCCATCCTAAAGGCATAAAAACTTCTCATTATACCATCCTACATACTGTTTGTAGGAAAGTCATATTTTTAAATCTGTAATGTCTTATTTATCTGATAGAACTGTGACAAAAATTTGTGAGGAGATCTTTGAGCTTCTTGACTGCAGACAGGATCATAGAGCAACAGAAATTCTCTAAATAGGCTACTCAAGAGTACTTTTTGGTGATATTATCATTTAAAACGCAATGCATTCGCCAACTCATAGTATGGATATTAAAAAATTACTACCCCTGTTCTGAGAGTTGTGTTTTGGCCCATCTCTTGTCAGAAAAAAACGCCAAACCTTGAGCCTCATAATAAACAAATGGACATGATGCTAAGCTGAGATTTCATTGCATTCAAGTGCTTCCTAAAGCCAGACCCTTATCATAACATCAGCATCCTTGACAGCATCTTTTCCCTCTTAGTTAAAGACTAACCTACAATACCAAAATGACATACAGATTTTCACAAATTCTGTTGCAGTATAGATTTATCCTAGCTAGCTTCAAACATCATTAATTCTCAGGGAATTCGTTTCCCCAAGACCTGATCTGACTTGTGAAACAACCTTGGGTTTCCCCTCTCTGCTGCACTTCTGTTCTGATAAAACTGTTCCTGAGTATTTCAGTTTGGTCAGCGGAAAAGTCTGCAGTAGAAGCAAGGTGAGATGACTTAGCAACACAGCTTACTATGATATTAATAAGGTAAAGTCAAACTCTTGTTGTGTTGAGCAATCGTATATATTCCGTGTAAACACCCATGTATAAAGTACAATACCAAGGAATCAAAAAAAATTAAAATATGACTGGAAACTTTATTTAGAGGGAACAAACCATAAGCTACCTAAATAATAAATATGTTTACATCCATAAGCCTACTAAAATCATGGGAAAATCCATGCTTTGCCAATCAATCACATATGTTTATGAAGCACACTTTGACTCACATGGCTACTTTCTGGCTAGTTAAAAACAGTGCTAAGATTTGCTAAGATTTGCTATGATTACAACCAACTTTTCTCAGGCAAAAGAAGCCTGGAATCATGGCCCTGGGATGCCACATCACAGCCACGTTCCACCAGGAGGGAAGAATGAGCTCCATCTCAAAACAAATACCTGTTTGCAAGTATGCCCAAGTAAAATTCAAAGGCTAACAGCTTAATTCATTTTCCACTTTTGCAATACTTCAGAGCAAAATATTAAGGACAAAAATAGAAAAGTAATATAAACTTGGAACAACAAACTGAAGTTTATTTTTAGCCAGACTATGCTGAGGCAGAGAAGAATTATGTCTTTATTTCAGCTGCAGATCTAGAACTTGTTCATTATTGAAAAGCACATCTCGGGGCACAAGTATGTTACAGATTTAATTTAAATGTAACCATTGGGCCTTTTATCCGTATAGGTGAGTGTGAAGACGCTTCAGTTCAAACTAGTAGTAGTAGTATTTCTAGCACAGAGCTGTTTTGTTAGAATACGCCAGTGCTTTGCTGAAATTCTTTTTCAAGAGCAGGTAAAGAAGACTCCTCAACTGAGAATGCTAAAAACAAAGTATAGCCTAGTGTGAGAGAACAATAAGATGCTTTGTACTAGGCTAAGCATCAGCTGTACCATTTATCACCCAGTAATGGATTGGTCCATGTTTTCCTTTGAGAAGTTGGAAATATTTTAAGGGATAGAGGTATATGCTGTTGTTCTGGCCCAGAGGTTAGGACGACATGCTGCCTGCATGAGAATGCAGCTAGCCTGACTTTCAAAATCGATTTCTTTCTAGATTTCTTTTTTGTAACTACTGCAGTTGCTGTCAAAACATGCTAGGAGAAGACTCTTGGTAAGGATTTTTAAAGCTGTACTTGAAGGTTTCTCCCTCTGTACCAGGACCCTGTAATTTTAATACACAACTTCAGCTCAATGTGGCATGTGAAGTGCAGACACACTGCTGAAAGTGGTACTTTTCTGAGGACACTGTGGAAGAAATTTTTGAGTTGAAAGTATCAGAATTTAAGCAAGCAAATAGAGGGGTGAGGGGTTTTCAAGTCTGTATTCTGAATCTTTTTGAAAACTCTCTTGACATATCAGCTCCAAAACATACTGATTTCAAACATTATGGAGCAAACTCCTTACTTTTCCACACTGTTTTTGTTCACGTGAGCAGTCCCATTAATTGTACAGAGGTCAAGGAAGTAATTTGGAAAATCAGGAATGACCTGGCTACTTCCTGGCTGTATCAGTAAAAGGCATGAAACCGTTCAGACCAATGAAGAGCAAACTCCAGATATGACTTAGGAGACCACTTCACTTACCTTGTCTGAATATGAAAATTATTTGTGGTCCCAGTATGTTCATAATCATGGACGGCAGCTGCAAAGATCATTGCTAAAATTTCCAGTTCTGTGAGCCAGTGCTGGTAAATGAAAAAAAAACCTTAGTCATACTTGCTACAATAGCCTAATTCAGATTAAACACTACAGTACTGGAAATGTTTTGCATTACCTTCAATTTAAGTAAACTTCATTCTCGTCTTATTCCAGGTAACTATATATCCATAACACTTCAGAATCATACAGTAAGTAATGCCTTGTATTTATTATGATTTCTCTAAGACCAAGTGAATGTCCTTATGGTCTCTAGCAAAGTAAATACTGGCAGTCAAAAATCTAAGAAGTTATTAAGATAATTACACAGTATACTTTGTAGTTGTTTTGAGCAGGAAGTATCTAATCTGCTAGCCCATACATGGCACTTGCCAAATTATGGTATATTCATCTAAAAATTTGATATGAAGTTAAGGTTATAATTTGTCTCTCAGTGAACAATATATACAGTTTATAATAAATTCTAGGTAACAACATCAGCATTAACTATATTTTACCAGTGTACATAGCACTAAAATTAGGCCCATGGGAGATTTTTCTATTCTAAATTTTATTATAATTTGTACTAACACCAAAAAAAAGGTGCATAAGGCTGGTAAACTGTTACACAGAACAAAAGGTAATATAGGTCATCTCCACAAAAAAATGCAGACCGTAGAGTTCTGTGCACTGTTATACCTCTTGCTAACGGAGGCTGTTCTGTATTGCTCAGTTTGTAAAATAACCTTTGCTATTTTGTCTTTCAAGTTCTATTTCTTGAATGATAAATCATCTTTGAGGAGAGAATTTACTCCATCTAAAAATGGGGGCAGAAAAATCATATGATAATTAACCCCCACAGTCACAGGACTGATTAAGTCAAATGCCAGTCAACCATTTCCACACATATTTCAGATGTTTTTAGTGTAGAAGTAAGCTTCTGTACTAAAGGATCGAAGAATGATCTCATCCTTATGTACCCATATAGGCACACACATGTATATGAATGGATATAATGTGTATAAACTGCCACAAGTAGTATAAGATGCCAATAGTAGTACTTCTCTCAAAGAAGAAGTAAGGAAACAGTCAGGATTCATAAGCAATGTGAGAATAATGAAATGGGTCATTCAGCAACAAAATAAGACTGCTGAGGAACAAGAAGTACTGGCTGTTGGTGAAGCAGTATAGATTAAAAAAGGTCACAACAGAGGAATGAGAATGTACTGTAAGCAGTTCTAAAAATGGAAACGATGACCTTCATGGTATTGTGTGTCACAAGAAACCAGGCCATGGTCAGGCTTGGCTTTCACAATGTTTTCAACATACCAAGTAGAATAGAAACCCAGAAATTATTAGTAACAAAAGCAAAACATAAACTTTTTCTTTAAGATGCCTTTTCAAAGATCACCTTTTTTAGTAACCAAAATTGGTGCTACACAATGCTTCTGTAAGTGAAAGAGCATTCCTTACAAACAAGATCTATGGGCTACACAGAAGTAACACATGGTACTATACGAAAGCAAGTATTCTAGAAACTGTAGCTGTACAGTCCTAATTCAGATCAATATTCAAATCGGAGAATCAGAGAACTACCTTAGCTAAAGGATTTCTAAGGAAGCATGAGAAGCTCTTAGAGAGACGATTAACAAGTGTTTTTCTCAAAGCGAGAGGGAAAAGCAGGTATCTGGAGGTCTGCAAGACTGCAAAGAGTTGGAACCTGCTTCCCTCCCGGAAGATACTATGCCATGCCGGTGTAACACTTATTGGAAAAGATTTTTTCTATTGAGAGATGTTTTCCAGTATTATAAATTGCTTATAAGTAAATAGATACTTTTCAAGGTTTTATGAGCTCTGGTTCAAACTATTCTTTTAAACAATGATGGATTAAAAAATGAGTAAGAAAGGGCGTCTGACAATGCACTTATTGACAGTAAAGACATTTTTTCCTTTAGTTTGAGCAATACAGGTACGTGGGAAGAGAAAAGGGATGGTGGGAAGATGATCGATGACTCAAAAGTTCTTTAAAAGATGTATTCCCTGGGACTCGGATTCTTAAATCTTTATAAAGATGAAGGCTTCATAAATGCAAGCTTCAGTTATATATTTCAGTCGTATCATCTGGGATTTAATCTCTTGGGAAGGTTAATAGATTGTGTGCCATCTGTGATATCTAACTTTCTAACACATTGATCTGAGGTGGCTGGATCTTGTTTCTTAAGATAGACAGTAACTTTTGGAAAATAAAATGATAATTTTATCTTTAAATGTGACACTGAATATGTGTTATTCTTCACTGGAATCTCTCTAAAGGCCTGTGGAGAAGCATAAACTGACCAGTCAAATTTCTTGGCAAATGCTGAAATTAGGCTGTTTTCCAGGTGTCTATAAAGGATACAAAATTTATGACCTCAGCAACAGGAACTGTGAAAAGGGTTTTCTAATACCCAGCTTTCTGAAACACTTGCTTCAATATGTCTTTCAGAAGTGAATGAGGAAGACAGCAATTCTTTGTCAGATTTTGGAGTTAGTATCAGTTCCTTAAGATACAATGAGCGCAGAAGGACTTCAAATTGCATGCCAGTCTGCAAAAACCACACAGGGATTTGGTATAGAATTGCACCAAATTGACTCCAGCCCAGGTATTTGTTAGAAGATACAGCAGAGTTAAAGGAAGCATTACAATGGACATACTGTGAAAACCCTTATCTTGAGAAGCAAACTTTGAATCGTTATTGAGTAGGGTTCTGCAGGGTTAACCAGGCAACAGGGAAAAAACCCAACAAGTTAAATAGAACATTTGGATTATACTGATGCGTTCTCAAACTGCAAATGACATTCGGGACAGAAATACTTTGCAAGCTGCAGAATCACTAGGCCTTCTTTCAAACACTGATTTCTATAAACGTTCCTTCTGCCTGGCAAGCTACATCTGTTAGAAGGCACTCTTGACTAACTGTTGTCCTAGTTAGATATCTTTCTAAGAACTTTCCGTATCTTAATTCAACAATTCAAATGTGAATATTTAAAGCCTGGTCTAATTTTACAGGAATATTTGTAACAGTGTTGCAACATTAATGAGGTTTTACAGCAAAGCAACAGCAATAAAGTCTAAGCTTTTCTGAAAATGGTTGTCAAAATCACATCAAAGTGCAGTTACCAGGTTAAGATGCTAATATTGTAAAACTTCAGTTGGAGAGGCCTTTCTCATTCTTGCGTGCACCTGGTAGAATAGCAGATATTCAAATACGAAACAGATTCCTTCATTCAGTGTTCAGAGAGACACAATGTGTGTTGCAAATTTGTTTAATCAATGGCTAAACATGCCAAATTGACTAGGATAGTTCTGGAAGTTGGAACCTTGTGCTGGCATCACAAAGAACATCTGAATACTATGGTGTTTTCTGAAGGACAGAGGGGCACAGTTACAATGGGCCAAAGGGATACTCATGATGTATAATACAACAAAGGGATTTTCCTCCCTGTTAAGTTGCTGATCCAGGTGTATAATTGTGACAAATACATGTCTCACTCCACTTAACACTTGCAGTTGATATTACAGTAGGAGACAAGAGTAGGTTAGGAACCATAATCTAATCTCTTCGAGATTTTTCTTTTATTAAAATATTATTTTGACAGGTGAACATTGTATACAACAACTTTGGTTTGGAGTCATCTCGGCAAGAGCTGTCTAGCCTATGCTGCAGTCTGATATGTAAGTCCTCTCTTAAGAAAACATCTCAATGTGAAAAAGAATTTTGGCTAGAGAAGACTCCAGGCTTCACTCTGCAAGTAGTACTTGTGTTAAAATGTAGCTTTAAAAACTTGATGCTTAGGAACAAAACACTTCCTACAAACAGTAGAATTAAACCCTGCAATGCCTAGGGACTTCTTCTTGCCTCCACTGAGGCAAAGCTTTCAGTGAGAAAAGCCTTAATATAAGTGAATGACTGTCATTTATTGTGTATATATTGGAGCACAGACATCTAGTCAGCCCTAATATTTTCCTTTTAAAAGTCTTACGGAATTGTGTCATGGCTCTGCAAACAGAAATCAGACACTATCACTTCCTACCTTTTTTGTTTTTCCTGAAACAAGTGCATTCATAGTGAAGACAAATCATCAAAAGGCCACTGACAGAGACGTCCGTTTTCTTTCAGTTAGTGTTTACTTTTGTCTAGCAAGCTGATAGAGAGGAGACTCCCACTGCTGCTATTAAAGCTAAGTGTTCAGAGTAAAAATGCTTGCACAGACTTACTTCAGTTCCCAAACCAAATACTAAAAAATATTAGGATATTGCAATAGTGCAAGGCAAATGCAATCTCCTGCCTACTACAGGCACATACAGTATGCAAGGGCAGCCCTAAATAAGATTATAAACTAACAGAGAAAGCAGCCGCAGAGTATTTGAGTAAGCTTGCACTGATTCAGTATATCTTCCAATATACTGGCCAGGACTTCAGCAGATACTAACGCTTCCTTGCCTGATCACACCTCCCAGACTCTGATGTGGAAGCAAAAAATTCTCACCTGCCCACTCTTGCAAATGTATGTCTTTTAGTATGATATATAATAACCAAGCCCACAGAAAGGATTTAAGGAGGATATTTTTCTCCTTTTTTCCTCCACATCAGGAGAGATCCAGTCTGAAAGAACTGTTAAAATGACATGAAGTTCATAGCCTGAATGGCAGTTTGGAATCTATCTCTGCACAATTTTCAAGCGAGCTTTTTCCTTAAGAAAAGACACGTACACATTTAACCAAAACAGCAGAGTCCAAGAAAAGAAGTAAATTGAACTTTGCAGCATTTCTTACCATGATGCCAGTGTGAATCATTATGTAATGTACAGTTTGAGTAACATCAGCTGCATGGATCAAATTGTGATATGGATTTTTGTATTTGCTGTAACCAACTTCAAGAGCTTCAGCAAATGAAATCAGGTTGGGGACAGGGATCTGGGGGGAAGCAAAAATTGAAATAAATGATTCTTTCCTGCAACAGCTCTAAAGTTAATCATGCAATAAACAACACAAATATACCATAGAATTTAGTTAACAAACAGCAAAAGAAAAATTTACAATTTAAAGGTCTAATGTCTTAGGTGTATCAGGGAGTCTTCACCCAGTTCTTGTAGATGTTTTACCCCTCTACACACATCCTGCACAACATGTTGCTAGTGTACAAGAGACTGCAGAGCTATCAACGAAATAGTTTTCAAGACATGCCTGTCTGTCTGTACCAGGAATGCATAGATTGCTCATATAATAAAGGCATGAAAGATGGAAGTCTAATGACAGGATTATCTCCTTTTCTTCATCAGCCTGAGACAAGGTTTCCTTGAATCTGATAGTATGACTTCCCTTCCTTCTCTTCCTCCAGACAAAGTATGAAGTACAGGTACTATGTAGTCCCACTTATGTTCCTGTATAATGAAATTACTTTTTCCTGAAGATTTTTTTCTTTATTTAAAAGCCCTGCGAGATGAACAGTGCGACTGAGAATGGGCTTAAGCCCCCTGAGTCAGCAATATTGTGTACTTTCTGGCTGCGGTGTTAATGGTACGCCTGGTGCGGGTCTGACTTCAAGCCCTCAGAGCATGAAGGGAAAAGCTTGATGGGAAAAGCTGAATTTGGGTTAGTTAAAATATTCAAACCAACCTCAGGGTGAGGTAGACTCTTCAAAAAGAGCATGCAGTTTTTCAGTGGAGAGATTTTGAAAGTATAATGAAACTTTTATTCGGTACTATAATAAATTTGGCATCTTGATCCATTTTCATCTCAGCCTTTCAATGTCAATTATAAGTACTCCATATTGTATTGCAACACCTTGCGAACACCATCGAAAAGCAGCGTTCTCTTTATATATCCCTCAAGCTGGTTAGGAGAGGAGGTTCAGCTGAAATCCCTGCACAGTGGTGGGCAACATACTATGATCTCGACCATGAAAAAAAGTACTTAGGACTAACTACAGTTTTCTGCCTTATTAGGAATCTTTGTTCCATGAAGCTGGGACACTGATTCAGTACTGCTGAGTAAATGGGCTGTATATATAATCTGTTTATTTAATGCTTACAGCATTTAGCTGCTCACTAGCAACTTTCCATCCCAAACTGACTTGACATGGGTCTACACAGCTTTCCATTTTTTGGGTTGCAGAAAAATTTGCATCCTCTGGGTGAAGTTCCATTTGGTGAACTGGTGGCATATTACACCACTTGATTTGTCTTATTCTTTGAAATTCTGTACTGCGCTGTACAATTAAAAAAAAACATTTCAAACATATGCTGGCTTTCTTGTATTTTAAATGTGACATATTTATTTTTGCATACGTATTTTTATTTGTGGCTACTTTCTGACCTTGAAACGGCTCAAAAGGTCATATCGGGTAAACAGCTCATACATCATAAATTTCAGACTGTGCTCTCCACTGGCTTCATTTAGGGCAAATACGTCAAAAGACCATTTATCAACATCCTGTAGATGAGGGGAAAAGAAAAAAAAAACATAAAATTTCCATCTGTTTAAGTAGGTTTCTAGTTAATCACTGGAAAAGATACATTGGGTTTTTTTGGACAGAAGAGGGAGAGTTTGGTTTTTCTTTATTGTCCAGCTCTTTCAAATTCCTACTGTAGATAACACATTAATGACTATTTCAATATTAATGACTTATATAGTTGTGCCAGTTATGAATAAAACACTTGTAATATGACCTATGCAACCTTGTATGCTTCGAATCAAAGGCCGTAATATTTCATATTTAACTTTCTGCATATAAATTGCCTGCAGAACCTCGTGGAGCTGGTGCGAATACCCATCCTTTAAACAGGCTATTATGCCATATCATTAACACTATAGCCACATAGCATTTTGCGAATGATATAACAGGGGTTGGCTTTCAAGGGAAAAGATGAGGTACCATATTCTCCAGAAACGCCATTTTCTTCATTGCATACATAGTCATAGGAACTTTATTACTCCAAAAGATAGCCTTTTGGGTGAACTACAGTAATGGCTTAAATTCACAGCAAATCCTGTACTTGTTCCATAAGCTGCAGCTTCTTTTGTCAGCTCTATCCCAATACCATTTCTCCTTTTTCTTTCCTAAAGAGGAAACAAATGCTGCTGTCTCAGACACTGATTACCACACCACTGGGAGTTGATAAAAACATGGCTCACATTTCTATAAAAATTTCTGTCTAAATTTCATCCTATTGCTCTAATGACATCTAAATGAAATCACAGCTAATCAGTGAAACAATAAACAGAATCATATGCTATTTGTGAATTTTTAGCCATTAATTTCTCTGTTCTGTGTGCTCAGTTCTGCAGTACTATGGCTAGGGCATGTTTGATAGAAAAATACATTAATTTCACCCTAAAAGTCACTAAACATAAGTACAAATACATTCAAATTCCATAAAAACTTCTTTCACCTTAAATGTTACTATCACTTCTGCTGGGTAAGCCAAACCAACCATGCTAGAAGTTCTTCTGTACATCCTAAAAAAACAAATAAAATGTTAAGGAATAGCACTCCTTTAAAAAGTACTGGAACAATTTCTCTTTTTTTTAGTTCACCTTCCACAGTTGGTAAAGAAACACTAAGCTATTTAAGGGTCTGATCCCAAAGGTGACATAAATGTTTTCATGAACTTCTGAGAAAAGCCCCTCTGCTGGTATATTAGTCTTTTACGTTAGTGCACTCTTCGGTACATTTTAGCGTAGAAGTTTCAAAGCCACAAAGTTCCCTCCCGGAATTTTCAAAGTCCAGAAGATTTCATTACAAATTTAGAAGTTTCATCTGGAATTCTGTACACAAAACAGAGTGACTGCAGAAATCGAAACCTAAAATCTGGCTCAAAGATTTGCTTCAGATTCGTCCCACCACTTACAGGATCTTCAATGACAGACACTGTGGTTAAATGCAGTACTTGCTGTAGTAAGAAAAAAAAGCTTTCACCTTTCTACAAAAATCCCAGCCTGTACAGCATGCACAATGCTTCGGAATTTGGGCTTTTCTTCAGGTCTCCTTTTCACTATTCCCATTTCCCTCGTGAATGTAGAAGCTAACCAGTCTCGCACTTCCAGCGGGACCGAATCCGACTGGATGTCAGAGAGCTCATCCTCAGTGTCCAAAAGTTTCCTACAAAAAAATGAATACAAGGTAACTGAGAAGATGGCAGACTGAAGGAAAAGGAGTATGGACAGGAGAACAGCTAACAAAACTTAATTTAATGGGAGCAGAAGTTGTCTGTAGAATGGACTCAGCACATCACTAAATGTCTTCTCTGGTAGACACACTGAGGCCACTGGGAAGCTGGGCACAGCACATAGCTTCCCTCTCTCCCACTGCTCACATTTCAGAAGATAAAAGATATTCAAACACAAGATATTCAAGTAAAGACAAGTGAAGATTTTCCTACAAAGATGACACAGTTTTGGTGGACTGAAGTGTAATCAGTAAGTCACAAAATCCTAAGGAGACGTCTAAAACAGTGGCTGACATGAATGTGTATACAAAGAGGGGTTGCTGCTATAACTGAAAACACCAGTGGTCTGTCTGATCTGTCCTCCAAAACTGTACAAAAAATGTTTTGATACTTACACACAAAGTAAATTATATTACATAGCAATGCTATGGTGAATGCTTTTCAATGAACACCCTTTATACATGCTCATCAGGCTATTCCAATGCAATAAAAGTATTAAAGAGGATTAATTCCTTCCTTATGGAGACCTGTATTCCTGTTCAAGGCGTGGTAACAAAATCATAGCTGTAAAGATATTCTACAAGATTGGATTGCAAGTCAGCTTTCACAGTTCTTAGTTGTTCAAAAAATTAGAAAAGTTATGTATACCGCTTGCAAAATAGAAAAGATATTAAAAAGAAACTTCAAAAAAACTGAATTGGAGGACATAAGTTTAGTTAGAATAAACATATAACTAGATATTATCTTAAAACAGACCAAACACTTCAATTCAACACTTCTATAAACTTACCAGATGTAGGAACACAACGTTTTTCTTGCTGTTATTTGCTGCTAGCACTCAGTCTGCTAGGGTTTTCCAAGAACCAAATCCCTTACCTAGTCTTTCATGCAATTATGCAAGAAACCCCAGTCAGGATGACCCAAACATACGTAAAACATGCCACCCTTTTAAAATGTTTTATTAAAAGTGGTATCAACTGAATTTTTTGATTACGTAGATCTATTTCTCTAGTGTTATCTTTCTGAAACTGCTCAAGTTTGCATGAATTAGACACAAAGCAATAATGGACAAAGTATTTTTGAGTGTGATTTTCTTATCAGATAATCCTCTTGTCAAGCTAAAACTTGGGTCTCTTCTCCTGAGTGAACAAGATTCCTGGGAAATATATCTGGTGGGAATTTGGCTAACGGCATTTGCAGATGGGTATTTGGGAGAGAAAAATTTCATATTCTCTTACCCATTTTCATGTTGTCACCTCTGCCACTCTCTTTTCCTTCTACTCACCATAACACAGATTGACAATTGCCTCAATTTTTTTCAGTGGCTCTTTCACACCTTTCACTTTCTCTGTTTCTCTTCTTCAACATTTTCAAAACCTTGCCTAACCCAGGTCTTCTCTGTTATATAGGGCATATGGAGGAATTGAGCAGCAACGTAAATTATGAAGAAAAGCCTGAACTATAGTTCAAAGGAATCCCCATGTAAGTCTAATTCTTACTAAGGGATTATAGGAAGCATGATGCCAGAAGTGTCACAGAAATTACTGGTAAACAGTGACCATAGTATATTTGTGCTAATCCGCCCTGTTCTCCGTTTCAGCAGCTCATCCAGCTGGCAGTATATTTTGTGAGACTTTTCAATCAGGGTTTAACAAAAAAAAAAAAAAAAAAAAAATCCATAAAATGCCCCCAACACCACCTCTGTTTACTGGACGAACAGCAGAAATGTTCCTATTTTTCAGGGACATGAATTATCAGACTAGGAAGGCTCTTTAACACAGAGTGCAAGAGGAGCAGAATGGACAAGAATGATGAGATTTTCTGACAGTGGGACACAGGCCAGAAGTCAGTCATTTATTTTGCAGGAGCAGGACTTGTGTAGAGCAAAGCATCTTGGCAAATTATCTTGCAAAACTGAACCAAGGCTGAGAATGGCCATAGGTCAAAGGCTATAAATTGATTTTAATCCCTAAACTAAAAACTATGTTACAGTCCACTTAAAATACCTACTAGTCTAACACTGTTATTAAATATCCCTGGAGAGATGAGTACATTTATATTTCTGAGGAATATTTGACATTTGAAGTATAATCAGGAATAAACCTTACAATCCCTAAAGCACATTTTTGTAACTACTCCAACTGTTACTCAAGCAGGATGAAATTATTCCAGTGACAAAAGGACCATGGGCATTAGGCTGCCTCAGAGCACGTAGCAGGGATATTCCACATCACCGGTGCAGCACGAAGCAGAGCTCTCCATCAGTTTGCTATCGTCTGATGCAGATCAGACTGTGGAACAAGTCCCGAGCTCTGCAGATACGAGCCACTGGAGTACAAATTAAGGCTATGAAGACACACCTCTGTTTCTCTAATCTTTTTAACCATTCCATTTGTAAAATACGAGGACTATTCAGTCTGCAAATGATAGTAATAGGAATTACTTTATAAAGACAGAATGTAAAGAGTTTCAATGTCTCTGGTTCCTACTTAAATAACTAGGAAAGCAACTACATAGAAGTATGTTGTAAGTACAATCCTTTGGAAGTACAAGCTCTTACAAATCCCCCAAGCTCGTAACTTCCCATAACCTTGGTAACTTCTCAAGAAGAATTAGTTTCTTTCAGAAGCGCAACTGACACAACATTTAAGGAGAGCAAACAAGGGCTAGTCATTCATTTCATAACTGTCTATTTTCTACACGTTCCTGACCTTTTGGAGAATAAGCTTCATATTGAGGAAAATTACTCATGACATCTGCATTGCTAGAAACGGCCTTTGAATAAATTTGCTAATGATTGCCATTCTTCTGTAATTACAGGGACAGGGCGCATATATGGGTTTACACATCTGAATAAATGGATGGCTAGATGCATATATAATTTGATGGTAATTTTATTTAGGAAGGGAAATAAATTAGGTTATATATTGCACTATACAAACTATGATTAAATATCACAAATTCTTAGAATCCAATATTCAACTCATTTAATAGCTTGTAACTTCTGTCTACTTTTATTTGTCTAGTTATACCTTAATCATAAAATACAGTATTCCTATTATATTTTCATGGGTATGAACATATATGGATACATACACAATATTGTAGATTCTGTGAAATACATCTAATTGTTCACCTTTTACTCAGTGACTGTGAAAACACGTCTTTAAAATAACCCAAATAAAGCAAATTTATACGTTGAAACATAAAACCATCAAGTTGCTTTTATCAGTAATTCTACTTACTCTTTACGAAATGAACATATATATCTCTAAATTTTACTAAATGTAACAAAAAGAATCTTCAGCAGAAGTATCATAACTTGTACACACTCAGCAGAAGTACTAGTGGTACTTCAGTACCTACATTACAATAATAGCTGAAATTTTTCCTCCAACGAGAGCCAGTTTTTGATCGGTCATGGCTATATTTTTTCACAGGGATCTTTTTCTTTTTATGTCGAACCATTTTACAGCTTGTCTGCTTGCCCCTAGTCTATTGATGTAGATCACCGCAGTGAGTGCATCAGTTAAATCACAGAGCCCCTGCATGCCTGTCCTTCCTGCTGGTACTACTTCTTTTGCTCAGAACTGAATTGCAACAAAGGTTGACTCTGAGCAGACATATTATTATGTCACTCTGATGCAATCACTGAGCATTATAACATCATCGTTTCTTTGAATAAATTATACAGCACAACGTCATCTATAATTACTGGGAAAAAAACATAACAGCCCAAAGTCTATATTCAGAACATTTTTATTCCTGTTTACATTACTGCTATTTTTATTTATATCTATTTAGAACTGAGAACTTTCAGAAGCTTCAGTAAAATCAGTGAATCAATGGAAGTTTTTGGTGTTTGGTTTTTGCCTAATGAAAGTTATTACTGCCCAGATAAATGGAAAATATTTAATATATTCTGCATTCTGTAATTCTACTGTTATGCAGACTTCTTGCGCTGACTTGCTGCTTTATGAATCGCAGGTGAATAGGTAAATTATTATTATTGGTGATTATTCAGGATGCCTTTAAATTAAAAAAAAAAGAGGGGGAAAGGTGAAGCAATATCAGAAGACAGGGTCAAAACAAAGACAAATAGGGTTAAACCACTGAACTTCCTGCCAAATATTACAGGGATTTTTGCAAGATTTGCCATATAATTTGCAATTGTAAATTGTAAAATGTAATTTGTAAATTGTAATATAATTTTGCAACATTTTGCAATATGTAAACTTTTAAATAGGTTCAGAAATGCCATTGGATAAATTAATGAGCAAAAGAACAAGTGACCATAGCTGTCAAACACAAGACTAGAACCTCTGGCTTAGAAAATACTCGGAGGGGAGTGACTGCAATATCTGCAGCCTCATCCTCCAACGCAGCCACGCTGAAGATCAGGGATGACGGTCATTTACTTTCTATTTTAAAGCTACATAGTTGTTCCACAAAGTCAGCCTTAAAGTAAAACTCTACTGAGAAAAATCCCATTCAACTGGGAGGCATGAACTCCAGTATCCTAGCTGAATTAAATAAAAGTTAATATACCAAAGCACGCACACATATTCTTTTCTCCCCTAAAGCTAAGCAACACCTAAAGATGCTAAAAAACAAAACAAAAAGCTCTAACACAATGTGCCACAGAAAGTACTTTTTTTCAACACAAAGTCAGAATTTCAGGGTTACATACACTTATTTTCCTCATATATCATTATCCTATTAAGTAGATGCAACATGGGGAGGAGATACGCGTGGGAAGGAGAGGGGGAGGCTTGGATTATTTAATTCTATTCTTTCCATGAGTGGAACTCCCATTGACAGTTGTGGGAATAAGTAATATATGGCCCATGGCATTTCAGCTTAGCAATCAATTAATATTGCAGTCATAGGAACTAATAACCTGATCTTCTTGTCACAGTACTGTGTTTTTTTG